AATAATAATAATAATAATGATAATGATAATAATAATGATAATAATAATAATAATAAATGATGATAATAGTATTACTAATAATAATATTGGTAGTAATAATAAATGATTGTTAATAACTCAATGTGAGTTTACCAGTGAATAATATACAGTTAAGAAATGCTCTCACAAATCGATTTACGATATTATTATTAAGCAGTTGTTTTGAGTGGAAGGAAGACAACTTTTGAAATGTTGATTGTTGATTTTCAGTTGGCTCCAATATTTTTATATGTTTTACGTCATGGATGTGATGGTCACTTAGCGAATGTTCAACCCGCTTACGAAAGCTACACAGCTACAGGTGCTGGTTCACTTGAGTTGCTGTTCTGTATTAGCTGTTGTTATGCAAATCGATTTTTCATAGGAATATTGAAAATTATGAATATCCCTTCGAAATATTTTACTAGCTCGCCGGTCAAGTGAGTATTAAACTACTGGATAAAGCCTGATTCTCCGGAGGATTCCGGTTGAGCGCTGAAGACACTGTCCTTTCAGTTTGTACAAACTGAAAGTGCAATCAGTTGCACGTTTTTGGTTTCAGTAAACGTGCACAACTTCGATATGTATACCTTGTTTGTGTCGTTATCCGTTCGACTGAACCGTTCTTGAATTTAGATGCCACATTTTCATTCGATACGGCTGCAATTTGTTTCGCCACAACCACTGGTGGTCCACTATGGGCCATTCTTTATTATGCCGCTAATTTGTTGTATACGTGTATTGGGCCAATGGTTTGACATTCTTTCTAACTTATATTTTGACTCGTTTTCGAGGTCATTTGAACGACAGTTATTCCATTTTTTAGTCGCATATGGAATTCTTTTCCAAAAATTACGTTCATTTCTAATGTCTTTTATCTTATAAAATTTGATCTCTGATGCTGCTCATTTGAATCCGAAGTGAAGTCCAAATTTTGAGTGCATCGATTAGCTTCTGATAATTAATTTATACCTGTTCAATATGCCCATGTAGATCAAGAAAAAATCTGTAGAGCATGTCCACCCATACTTTTAAAATGATTTTTCTACTCGGTATCATTTATTTTCATATCCTTGGATTCGTTAAGTGACCACATTTTTCGATTGAATCAAACTCACACCCTGAATTTGCTGACATAACACTAATACAGCAGAACCTCGTTTACGATCACAGTTCGTTCCAGTAGTTTGATCATAGCCGAGCAAACTTTTATCAATGAAAAACGAATCAATTCTTGTAACTATGGTGTAACTTACTGTTGATAGGATAGAATATTGAAATGTTTCCACAGTTTAGAGCATGATAAAAGAATGAGGGCGGAATTTGAAACCAACAGAGATTTTTCACAATCAGCGTTCAGTGTGTTTGTAAATTCGCCACTAAAATCTAGTTGTGATTCACCAGTTCTTTCCAACCGAGGACATTTGTGATGTAACATGGCGGCTGACCACTTCTAGCTACTGAATCCTCTTGCAAAATGATCGCTCCACTTCTGTTGCGAAGCTCTGAAGCATCTTTGCAGTTTTCTTTCGTTAGAATGAAAAGACACCACTTTGAGTTGAAAACATAACGCCAAAAATGACTCAAATATTTGATGAATGTTGTTTATGGAGCCAGAAACTATTGAAAAAAGGAAAAATACCGTTATGAATAATTACTATTGAAAAAGGGAGAAATACCGTTATGAATTAGAATAATTCACGTCGAATTCCACCTGAGGGGATAAATAAAAAACTCTACAAGTTTGATCAAAGATAATCGTAAACCGAGTAGTGGTCGTACACTTAAGCAAGTTTTTACTAAACATTTCAGTTGTAACTCGAATTGTCCGTAAACTGAGTTTCTTTCCACTGTGACAATAATATCAATTTAACATGAAACACATCAACGAGACCACATATGTATATTTATATGCATTGTTATTACAGACAGTTTTATTACTATTTATCATCGATTCATTTCACGAGCAATTTCAATTTCTTGAGCATTTCGCCTTACATATTATCGCATTATTATGTATGGTCTTCGCACTCACTGGAATGCTTCTTTGTATGCCGGTACGTTTTTTTTCAACCTCTTAATTCGATCTCAGTTAATTCTTTGAACAAATGAAATAAGCGCTTTCTGGAATGTTACCTTTGAACACAGTTAGCAATAATCAATCTGTTCCTAAACATTTCATTGTTTGATTCCTAAACATCTTCAGATGGGCACATCATTCGTTACCCTTCTCATGTATGCTTCACAATCGTGCATTACACAGCTGTTTGCTTTCGTCATCATTTTCTTTGTTTATGGTTTGTATCTTATTTTGCAGTCAAGTTTTAATAGTTGCTAATCAGTCGTTGGCTAAATTTAAATAACGACTGAATTCATCAATGCTTTTCCAATTCTGAAAAACGCATATCGAAATTGGGCAGATGGTCTGTTTCAAGTTATTTTATAACATTGCTATGATGTCTCATACGTATGTTGATGCGTTGAAGATTACTTTTAGGGTGGCATAATTTGGATGCTGATATACGCGTGATGCATGCTGGTGATGATAGTTCTTCGTCACGACTTCGTTATTTGTTTGGTTCTACAAGTCCACTTTTCACGGTGTTTTTGTTCACCACTGTACCTGCTTTACTTGCTGTAAGTTTTTTGGGGTGTTCATTTCATTCAGTACTTAGAGAACAACAAGATTTTAATATTTTATATCGATCAGTTTCAATGTAAGCAATAATGGTAATAATTCCAGACCAAATTTGTAAGCGTTTTCGACCTACTAATGACTGGTACGGACGTGACAAAACATATTGATTATGGTAGCAGTTTTATAAGTAAATCTATATCTCTAAATCGGACTGTTGGATACTGTATAATGTTTGCTCCATCATTCATCATCATCGCTTTCGCTTCATTTGCTGTTTATCGGAACACAATCGTTTTCAAAATGGTTATTTTTTCTGTTCTTTAATGTAGGGCTTCTATACGTTGAACAAACTGTCGTGCATGTCGAGTAATATGTCTTCGTGTTATGCAGCGATTTCAAACGAACATGTGATGGGTGTACGACATGCCATTTAAGGCGATCTCCCACTTATTTTTAAGCGTGCTTTTTCACTCTGGAACTAAAAATTATTGTTGCTAATTGGACACTTCTGATTTCAGCACGGAAAGTGGCATTCCTCTTGCATATTGACAGAATGACTTGTAGTTTAAAGTTAGAATCATGCTAAACGTTTATTAGTTGTACTAGCATTTTGCATGACTGCGTTCAAATTCAGGAACAATTCGAAGGTGAGGTAGTGTTTTATTATGGGTAAAAGTGGTTAGCTTCTTAACATTCATCCTAGTCTTATAATTAGCAGCTGACTGGTCTAAGGTGATAGTGTTAGATTTTGAATCTGTGTTTACGAAATCCCTTTTATGCCCATACTTTTCCGTTTGATATTCGAGTTATGTGAAGACAATCAATCCGGTATGCTAATGAGGTGAGCAACGACAGCTTTTGATAGATGCTATTGTGGTACTCATATGAAGATCTAATGAGGCACTGCCCTCAATCCGGTATGTTAATGAGGCATTACCCTCCGCTCAGCTGCAGCTTGGAATAGACCTTAGTTGACGCCTAACTACAAGTTGACGCCTGGGTCGGTTTCACTCACTTTGTGGTCAGACGTAATCGAAGAATAGGCAAAGGCTGAAGTCGAGCCTCATCACTTTTGGTGGTTGCATTCTTAACTGTGTTCGTGTTCGTCAGGGAGCAACTTTCTGACCGGGAGGAGGGGAGATAGAACCTCGTTGAGGAATGGGTGCAGATTTGGTCGATGCCACAAAGTCCATTGGAATGAGAATTCTCAGCAAACTGAGAAATTTTCAGGAAGAAATCCTCCTTTAGTTTTCGAAACTGTAGCTCAAAATGTCAGTCGCTATGAAAAATACTGCTGTTGTGAGCGACTGAAATGAAAAAATGCCGGAACAAAAATTTGGTCGGCCAAAGCCAAATAATCTGTTGAGACCGTAACCTTTGGATGCAAACTCGTTATGAGTAGGGATTGGCCTTTCGATTCTGGATTTAAAACCCTCCATCCGCGAGACAACTTTGTGCGCGCTTACCCGTCACTATTACTAAGCCCAGTTGGTCTCGAAATTTGATCCAGTTTCGTATTGTGATGAGTCAGGAATAAAGTGATGCGTTCAGTCCGACTCAATTCTTCCGGGCGTACGCCTTCATTGGAGGCGTAAGATGTGAAGGATTTCTGTGATCGCATTTCTCCTAGATTTCAAAATGCTTCTGAATTAACACCTTATTTCCCTATGAAAATAAAGTGTTACTTCAGAAGCATTTTTATTGATATCGCGAAGAATCAAGTTCTCCTTCTAATGGACACTGACCGACAAATTTCTGCTTCGGCACTTTTCTCACTTCAACCGCTCGCAAAATCACTACTTTCCATAATGACCATTCATTCACAATTTCGAAAATTAATCGATAATTTTTCTCGAAAGCTTCTCAGTTTGTAAAGAGTTGAATTCTCTTTCCAATGGACTATTTGGCATTGGCCGAGCAAATTCCTGATTTGGGACTCTTCCTACTTCAATTGTCCGCATACACGAGCGTTTTCCCTGGAAATTTGTCGGTTTGTAGATCGTTGAATGTGGTATCAGTCGCGAAGGTTGCGCTAGTTCATTTTATGCACATCCTCAGATCATTTTGCTCTCGTTCTCTGGCCACTCAACGCTAGGGCGCGCGTGTGTTTTGTCTTCTTTTGTACGAACGATTTGTGTAAATAGATTACAGATTATCGAAAAGTCGGCCATTTTCGATCTGAGCGCGATATTCAGAGTTCCATTTGCGGAAAAGATATTATGTAAAGTTTCACAGTTCTCGGGGAATTCTCGACGGGGAGTTCGTCGTCTCCGTCAGGGAGCAAACTGGACGAAGAGGGAGGACCCCGACAAAAAAATCGGGGATCAAATTGCCCGGGAGGAACCCCATCGGGGAGTAAAGTGGACGAGGAGGGACCCCAACCAAAAAGTCGGCGAGCAGAATTGTCGGGGAATCGTCGAAGAATGGGGGCACCGTTCCCCGACGAACACTCATGATCCGATTATTTACATAATGTGTGGTCTAATGCGATAATATATGGATGTGGTGTCGTCGGTAGTGATTTTGGTCTGGTGTACGAGAATTACCAAAATTTTATTTCCCGGAAATGAGTGAAGTTTCCCGATAATCTTCCAGTTTACTTGGTAACGAGAAAAATTAGAAACAATGAAAAAATTGTGCCTTACACTTTTACCTTTTATCGCATGCGAGAAGATGAAGAATGGAACAGCACTGAAAAAAATGTTGGCGACTGTTACAGCCAATAACGCAAAGCACATCTCGAAAAGTTCAAGGAAATTTTACTTTTGTAAGAAGATATCGTCGCATAAAAAAGAGGTAGGATAGTAGATGAAACAACGATTGAAACAAGTAAAAGAATCGAACCATAAAACTTGAACAATTTATGAATTACTATACAAGAATTAATTCAAAAGAATGCGACAAAAGATGTTGAGAAGAAGGGAGTTCGCAGTAATTTTTTGTTATGTTCCCACAACTGAAGTAGAAAATGCGTCCCAGATCTCACAACGAGATCAAAAATGACTGTTTCAGTAATCATTCAAAAATGACCCAGCTCAATTATATGATGTAAATATAACGAAAAAATGTATAATAACAATGAAACAAAATGATAAACATGAACGCATTTAATAAATGTGAACGAAAGCGTTATAACGTTGCGAAAACGGAATGAGCTCCTAACTGATGTTTCTAATAGAAATATTATCTCACAATTCCTGACTTTTTCTGACCAAATTTTCCCGTGAATTGTGACTAACTACCTGGAACTACAAAAGCCTTAATTCCTATGAAACGCGAAAAAACCATTCCAGAAACGGTCTGCTAGCCAGAATTAACAACAGTGGATGATTTGATGTATAAGCAGCTCATTAGCAACATATATGCTGTCAGTATTCATCGGGTAGCAACTTTTTGGTTGGAAGGGGGATCTCACTGGGGAGCAATTCGTAGGAGGAAGAAGTCTTCCGATGAAAAAGTTAGGAAGCAAACCTGTCGGCGAATAGTTGCCTATAGGGTCTTCCGATATAAAAAGCATCTGTGTGCATTTGTTCCCCTTTTAAGCTGAAAGTAAGCCAAGGCCAATATACTTAAAGTACACCCACGTGCGTTTTGCAGGTTACCCGATCACAAGTTGTGAAAGTCATTAATAAACACGTCACGCGGTAGCAACTTGTTGATGTTGTAATGTATTCCGTAGTTCTCGTTGCCAGAGTTATTGCTGAATACTGATTTCACTAATTAACATGCTAGAATTCATGGCGACAAAAATCGCACTCTCAACTGCTTTCGACACTTTATCGTCGAAAGTGTGATTATCCTACCGAATCTTGACATTTCCATGGTTGATTATATCGGTCAAGCCGCAGTATATGTTCAAAACAGATTATTCAGACTATTTTATAGTTTTAGCTTATTGTTTCTTTTTTTCAGCCGCTAGGTGTATTACTGGATGCAACTGCCGACTGGACCTCACATACTTCCCTCCGACAGGTTTTGAATTACGTTGTTTGAAACATTTCAACAATTGTTTGTTGATTTCTATTCACCAACGAAGAGTGAATTTCTCCCTCTATGAAAGTTCAATTTCTTCATCCGAAACAACTAATCAGTCGGTGTATTGTTGATAAACTGATATTTCTAATCATTTGATATTTCTAATCATAAACTGATATTTCTAATCAATATTCATATTTCTAATCATTTGCTCAATTTGAATTTTATGCATTTGTAGACCATATCGTCAAGAAGCGCTCCATATTCGTATTATGTTTTGAAATTATTTACTTCTATATCTAACCGCACTATTCTTGTTGTCATTTTTATCATCGAAATTTGTATTGGAGCAGTAATTTTAATTCTGTTTCTCACGTAAGTTATTTTATTTTCTATTCATGTCAAGCAAAACTGTTTGTCTGAATGCAAACGACATCTTTTATTCAATTTCAGAAATAATTTCAGAGCAAGCAGAATAGTAGGATATCACTTACATGCTAAAAAAACTTTTCTTGGTATGATTTATCGCCATTGTAACAGTTTTGTTGCTCATGTTCATATGTGTTGTACAAAATGGTTAATATATGAAATAAAGGATAAAATTTTAAGGTATACCATTTTAACGCAATTTCAAACTGATATCGACAACGGCTCTGCGAATAACTATCGGATAGTAATGCTACTTACATTTGCCGTGTTTCATATTCTTTCACTTCTCGAATTTTCACGAGTCATAAAACGATGGGATCATTCGTCGAGGTGCGTTTCTTATTTGTACAGTTTTCATTCATCGTTTCGTGTGAACACTCACAGAATGTTGATACAAACCGAATGTGTACTATTGATTGTGAGCATTTTCAACCATGCAAGAAAGAAGTATGACATTCATTCACAGTGGTCTTCTGCCAATCGGTTTCCTTTTTTCGTTTGTTCTTCACTTAATTCAATCTATTATTATTGGGCATGAGTAGATAATTAGAAACGAGCCAAATCATAGCCTTGCTCAAGCTCGATAAAATCAAAATTGATGCACCAGTAATTTGGTGTATCAAGTCATTCACTTATATTACTATAGATCTGCGTTTTTTTGTCGTGGTGACCAACGATAGATTGACAAAACGAAATCTTTTTTTTATTATGAAATGGTGCGAAATTTCTGTTCGTTGTCCCTTTGCCTCAATAAATCGGAAATGTTGATGGAAACATCGTTTTGTTCTGTTCCATTCAAAAGTGGAACAAATACTTAGCAGTAGTTTCAGAATTACAGTTTTAAAAAACATCTTCGACCTCAACGGCTTAAGTATTGATAGCTGTGAACGATATCATTGTTCAACGAATTTAAAACGTTTTTACATAAACTGGCCATGTGCTGCTTTATTCAATCATGCATGCTGAATTCGAATCTGCAGCCAAATTTTTCCATGACTCGCTTTATTTTCATTATTGTTGTGCTATATCCTACTGCCGACTAAAATTTTTGACGACAATTTTTACTTTCAAGTTGACCCTCCCTCATTAAAAGCACTGCATTTTAAACTTCTTCCATTCTCGATTCCTAGAATCTTCCTCTTCATAGGTCTTCTCCTGGAATATGAATTTTGTTTTCTTCTGTAACTGCTACGAATAAAGTAGAAGAGAAAGTGATATATTGCGATGCACGAAGACCGATATTCTGTAAAATAATCTCGGGAGCAGTTCGACAATATACACTTGAATTAAGCTGAGGTTCACTCTTAAGTCTACGTTTAGTCAGAGGGGATTAAAACCCTCTCGAGTACCTTGCTTTAGATTGCCGTAAAGACCACATTCGGCATAGCAGAAAAAGTGTAAGATCGATTTCTATGAAGCGAATACCAGAAAATCGACACCACTCGATCATTTCTTGAGGGCAAATTATTTGCCCATTGAATCAGTTTTGTGAGTTCCTTCTGCTATGTCACTCACCGGTACTATAGTGTTAAACGATGGCGCACGACATTTTAGCGCCGTCGGTTTGGCGCCGCGCATTTTGATACATCACGAACTATATTTCAGATTGGATACAGTACGGCAAACATGCTGATAATAAAAAAACATACTGATATGATCATTAATTCATTAGTAGAGATTTGATGCTTAGGGACGTTTTATGAGGTAATAATGATTGTATTATTTATAGTTTGAATTTGTACATTGGTGTTGCAACAATGGAAATGGCGTTTTTGAATGGTTATATGTATATGTTTATCATGAACCATTCGTGGGGATTTTACTGGATGCCATTGCTGGTGATATTTGTGAACAGTGTTTTACGTGGTGCGATGCTATCAGCTGTAATCGCCATTCGATGGAGTATGAGTGAGCAATCACATCCAACTCGCACAAGAGATGCAACTGAAATCTACGATGCGACTGTTGATCTGGATTTGGAGTTGAGTGTAGATCGAGATGATGATGCACCGATCATCTATGAAATGCGACGAGATGTTTTCTCTTAATTTGTTTATTTCGTTTCATTCATCCATCACCAACTTCACTTCATTCTAATTAATGTTAATTATAGCTATTGTCATCATTAGTCATACTGCTGCTGTAATCTGTTATCATTGTTATTTGTACTTCTCATTATCCGAAGTGTTCGATATATCCTCCTGTAATTGTACGCCGGTTTCGTAACGTCCTCTATATTTTAGGGTAGTGGGGTCCTAGCCATCTGCAACTAAATAAACAAAATGGATGTAAACAAAACCGTGAACTGAGTTCCACGCTCGATACTAACTTTTCTTATTCTCCATCGTGATGGCATAGCTTATCAAAATATGAGTCTGACTATATTCCTCAAATATTAGGTCAACACGCCCACTGAAGCAATTCTCTGCAAAATCACAGCTTCTCCGAGTAATCAGCGTCACTTACATCAGATTGTATCAGTCACTTTGATTAGAAGAAGTAGTTGTTTGGAACTATTGCTTTTAAATGCTAACGATAGATGGTGTGCTGACTGTAAAATGTTGCTTGCTTACAGAAACGTACAGAGGTTAACTCAATGCTTTACTGCACGGATTCATCGCAGAAGCGTTCGAACTGAGTCAGTAATGAGAAGAGGAATAAGCATAAGACCAAAGTATGGAAATTCTTATCATTTTAACCACTAACCCAGGTCATTCTTTCCTCTCAGACATGGTATTAGAATCGAATTAATTACGATAAAACTTAGAGCTTCAGATGGTTGTGTTCCTATTGAAAACTTAGTTGTGAGGTGTGGAAGGTAAAGACAAAATACTCCGACAGCTTTGATTCATCCGATCGTATAAGCGATAGTTCTTACTTATGTGATTGTATTTATATTTTTCAATTATCATTAAACTGTGTGAATTTGTTTGAAATTCCGTCCTTAGTGTTATAAAGTTGGAACAGAATCATAGCTCTCTTGTGAAAAGCTTTTTGACGATTGCATTTTGAAGCGATTATGTTTTGTGTTGATGTATGCTGATTTCTTAAAAATAAAACGCCCGATTAAAAACACTTTAATTTTTTTCCACGTCACATCAAAAAGTGTTATGAAGTAGTGATAGTAAGCGGCCGAAATTCGGTAAATTCTGAAATTTTTTGCTCACTTTCCGAGCGAAACTTTCTGAATTTGTTTGTTTAAAAAATTTCAGGTAGGGGTTCGGTTGAATTTCGGCCGAACATAAATCTCATTCGGTTACCATTATTCTTGTATAACTTTGAAATAAGTTGAGCATTCTGTGCGAAAAAGCATTTTATAGAAAGCTTAGAAGCGCTAATCAAAACAGCAGTTGATTTGAATTTAGGTTATTAGCAGAAAATATACTGAGAGTTGTTAATTCTGCTATGAAACGGATAGATTGGATGAGGCCGAAGTCAATGGAATACAGTAATCGAATGAATAAATGATATAAACTTGTGAAACAAGCACTCTGCACATAATTCTGTGCTCAATGAATCTATCTCATTTCCGATGAGATTAGAATCAGTTTATCGATTTCAAATAAATGAACCATAGAGGCAAACAAACAAAAGCGATCTCCGTGAAACGTCACTTTCATTCCCTTATTTATACAGCACTTCTAAACTTTTATTCACTTCATTAACTTCAGTCGTGTGCCAGTCAGATCACTTCTAAATGAAATATATCATCGTCAGCAGTCGAATGAAAGAGCTAAATTTGATTCTTGAGAACATTAGACTAAAAGCTTTTCAATCGTTGCCCATCTAATATTGAAACTGCATGATTTACGGTTATAACTTGTTGATTCATTATTATTTCTCAATCTGATATTGTTACCTGTTTGGTTAATCAGACAAACGCGATTAACGTTGACATGCTGCAAATAAATAACATTCGAAGAGATCACTGATGCACTCGGGCGAATCGTGAATGTGATTCCAATTTTAATCTCTCACCAAAAGGACCCCATTATCCTGGAAGTAACATCTGAAACATTGTTCGTTCATTAATCCCATCAGCTATTTAGACTTCATCGTATAATCAACCGAATTTCTTGAAATTTGCCTCAAGTTCGAAGCTAACAAAGTTTCATCGATGCAACACCATCAAGAAATCACTGAAGGTTCCTAATGTGTTTAATAATGTTGTAGATAGACGATCTTGAAAGAATTCAGTTGTCAGTTTGATTTGAATTCGCAAACCGCTCAGCTAAGGAACAAATTACCTTTCGAGTATTCATTTATTCTATGAAAATCAAAATTCAAGTTGATGTTGCCTCTGCGTTAAATAATATTCTTCCTTTTCCACATTTGGTCACCGACGACCTTTCTCAAGTCAATGATCTGTTTCAAATCAACGCACCCAGCTTCTGAATGAATTCCAAAAATGTCCCACTCCATCCTTATAACAAAATTCCAACAAACTCAATAATGAGCCGTTCAATTTCAACCCAGAATTTTCCTTACCAAAGGTTTTTTCTTTAGAATTGCGAACAAAATTTCTGATCACAATCATCAAAAGCTTTCAAAAAATATTTAATGCATTTATCAATTTTATGCTTAATGATGCACTGAATGAGCATCTGTATCTATCGAATTACCATCTCGGGAATATGTCTATGTCACTGCTTCATAAATTCCATTATCCCTATTCATATCTTCACAGAATCCGCAAAAACGCATCCTTTTATCCCTTCATGGAAATCACATCGTAGAATTAATGAATAATCATCCATTTTTTTCGTTCATTCTAATGCGGGCTTCACTTTTATATCAATTGTTTCATCTTCTTTGATCGCTGTTCTGATGAAGTTTAATTTCAAGATCTTGCTTTTTCGAGACGTAATGAATTTGAAAAGTCGTTGATTACAAATTAGGGTGATGTGTGCAACAGAATTGCCATTCAACATTGTGCTTCGACAAACAACATTGTTGTGGGATACGCAACAAAGCATGCTCGATTCTATTGTGATGAATATTTGAAATCAGTCTATGATGCTAGTATGCACTTAAAATACTTTATGCATTTTGACGATAGTAATTTCGTTTGCGTTATATGAGGTGCACCGTTACTTTGAGTATATCTCGAACTATGTGTACAGTTAGATTAAGCAGCCTTTGTTTGCTCGAAAGCGCAATGTTGAATATCAAGCTGTTTACTGCGTGCAGATCAAGACGATTTATATTGTGGGCGAGGCACTCTGATCCCGTAATGAACAGTGAAACAATGGCCATCTGATTTTTGTATCATTCACCGAGGAACATTCGTTTCGTTCCAAACAAATAATAAGGTGTCAGAATAATACTTTTCTGATGAGGTAAGAAACCAGAGGATTGTTAAGATTAGAATTAAGAGCTAATCACTGGTTTCAGTTCAGATAACACTGACCATTCATTTGTTAAAATTTTCACCGAATTTTCACCCCAAAAATTCATGAACGTCATTAGAAATATGTGTTTTCAGATAGATTTTTGGAGTGGTGCGGCAAAAAATCAGACAACCTACAAAGGTTTTGGTGACGATCGCCGAGTAGTTTTAAGAGAGGAACTGTTTAAGAGAGGAACTGTTTAAGATTAAACTTTTTGTAGCTGAGTACTCTTCATCGATATGGAAGCTGTTTTCAAATCCCTTCACCCAAACACTTGCAAAAATCCATCCATTGCGTTTGCCGCGTTAATCGCTGATGAATATATAAATGTTATCTTTTTTCGACTATAATTTAGTTTCAGGTACAGTGATGAATTCGTTATCGGTACTGATTGTGATGACGTTGTTTTCCTCAACAGTAGTCGTAAGTTTAATTTGAATCGTTTGCAAATGTAAGGTACAGCATTATGCGGCCCCAACACCCGATGAATCGCGGCCACACTTAATTACTACATTCCTTTCAGTTGTGTCTGGGTTGAATAAGCAAACTTAATAGTAAATGCCAGATTTGCGTTCATCATAGAATACCTCTTGTCAATTGAATGTTTTGCTGAATGAAACGATGCTTTTTGAATTCAGTGAATGGCAACAGTTCACCTTGCGACAATAGAAAAAAAGCAGCGAATCAGAATTAGATTCCACCGGCATCTTTCTGGTGAGTAATGGCATTGATGAAAGAAATGCTCTGTTGTGGACTAAGAAGCTAGCAGTGTTCCTCGCGCTTGCTTCAACCTGAACTGATATTGGGTTGAGCGTAACTGTTGATCAACACTGTTTTTCAACGTTTTCAAATGAAACGATATTCATTCTTTTATTGCAATTCTCCTTCAGCTGTACTCATTTACTCGACCACCTTTTGTGGTTGCAAAAATGAGAGCATATGAGCATTACAGATATGAATACGAAATTTGCTCTTTGTAATACGATAACATATTGAAGTGCGATGCACAACGACAAAAATTATTATTATCATTGATTGAAAACTAATGATATTATTGAAAATAATTATAATGATATTATGATAACAATTTTTGAGCAGCGTTCCCGTGAGATTTGTTACATTCACTTCATTTCCCACTGAATTTTATGCAAGAACAAGTTTCAATTCTCTTAAGTTCCATTCACGGAATCACTGGATTCGCATCCTGAAGTTGGATGCGAGAGAGTGCCGCCTTATTAAATCGATCCCGCAATACAAGTTGAATACTCTTAAACGATGGACCTAAAACGAATGATCTATCACACTTATTGAAAACCGAATTCGCATCCCGAAGTGCTCCCTCCCCTAAACCGAATCACGTACTTTTTAAAGCAATATCTATGAAAATCTAACTCGCTGAATGAAACACTATGAAAATGAAAACAACTTCGCTACGACAGGAGTTGAATCAATTCGAAAATATTATAGGCTGATAATCAATTGATCATTTATATATGAAGTAAAGAATATTTGTAATTATTGAATCAATTTCAGATATGCTACCCTTGGGATCAACTTTCAAGGAGTGTCGCTGAAAAAAAGGTATTTTCATATTTCATTGATCAAACTGATTGTAGTGAGGGAACATATTTGTGGATTCATACTGTGAAAATGAATAA